ATAGGAATGTGTTGTATAACTTTTTTTTTTAAAGATTTTATTTGAGAGCTAGCACAGGCTGGGGGAGGGGAGAGAGGCAGAGGGAGAGGGAGAAGTAAATTCCCTGCTGAGTGCAGAGCCAGATGTGGGGCTCAATCCCAGGACCCTGAGATCATGACCTGAGCCGAAGTCAGATGCTTAACTGACTGAGCTACCCAGATGCCCCTGTGTTGTGTAATTATTACTTAAGAGCTCTTGGGGGGCAGCTGGGTGGCTCAGTCAGTTGAGCATCCAACTCTTGATTTTGGCTTAGGTTAATGAGATTGAGCCCCACATCGGGCTTTATGCTCAGCAGGGGTCTGCTTCTCTCCCTCACCCTCTGTCCCCCCACCCTTTGCCCCTACCCTGCAGGCATGTACTCTCAGAAATCTTAAAAAAAAAAAAAAACTCTTGGAAAGAGGGACACAGTGCAAGGAATATTGTAAAACCTATTGTAATTGATGCTTGAGCAATGCGGGGGTGAAGGGCACTGACCCTCCATGTAGTCAAAAATCCTAATAGAACTTTTTACTCCCCCAGAACTTAATTGCTAATAACCTACTATTGACTGGAAGCCTTACCAACAACAGTCAGTTAACACATATTTTGTATGCTATGTGTAATATACACCATTCCTACAATAAATTGAGAAAAGTAAATGTTATGGAAATCATAAGGAAGAGAAAATACATGGACAACACTGTAAAAAAATCCATGTATAAGTGAGCCCATGCAGTTCAGTCCGTGTTGTTCAAGGGTCAACTGTATACTGTCTCAGCTAAACCTAAAAGAAAGAGGAAAGATATAAAAGTGTTACGGGTTAAATTATGCTCCCCCCATTCATAAAATGAAGTACTAACCCCCAGTTCAGAATGAATGTGACCTTATTTGGAAATAGGGTTATTGCAGATGTAAGTAGTTAAGATGAAGTCATACTAGAGTAGGGTGGACCCCAATCCAATATGACTGATGTCCTTAAAGACATTTGGAGATACAGGAAGAATGCCATTTGAAGATGAAGGCAGAGATGGGTGGGACTTCTATACATTAAGGAAAGCTTAAATTTGCCAGTCAACTACCAGAAGCTAGGAGAGAAGCATGGAACAGATTGTTTCCCCACAGCCGTCAAAAGAACCAATTCTGCCAACACCTTGATCTTGGATTTGTAGCCTCCAGAATTGTGAGACTACAAATTTCTGTTGTTCAAGCCACTCAGTTTTGGTACTTGGTTACAGCAGCCCTACAGACAGCAATTAGTGTATAGAGTGTTCTTGGGGTCCTTAATAGTAGAAAAGGTAGGACAAAGGAGGAAAAGCAGCAGAAAGTGGAAGGTCTCCTCCTACTACAGGGAAGAAATAGTACACCTTGTTGGGGGAAACAAGAGTGTCTTGTTTGAGCTTTCTATTTTTGTATAATAGATTACCACAAATTTAATGGCTTAAAATGCCACAAATTTATTATCTAACAGTTTCATGAGTCAAGAATTCAGCCACTAATAAGTAAGGTCTTCCACTTAGGGTCTTTAGGCTAAAATGAAAATGTCACCTGGTGCTATGATCTCATCCAAGGCACAGAGGCCTCTTCCAAGCTCACTAGTGGTTGGCCTTACTCAGTTTCTTGCAGTTGTGGGACTTAAGTCCCTATTTTCTTGCCAGCTTTTAGCTAGGGCTCACTCTCAGCATCTTTAGGCTGCCCTTAGATTCTAGCCATGTGACCCTCTCACAACATCGCAGTTTACTTCTCAGCCAGCAGGGAAATGCCTTTTCGGTCTGCTGCAACAGTCTCCTATCATGTAAGCTAATCAAGGGAGTGACTGCTACCATCATATTCGCAGATCCTGACTATTCTCAAGGGCAGGAGGTCCGTCCTGCAAGGTATAGATATTAAGGAGCAGGAATCTTGAGGGCCTTAGAATTCTGCATCCCACACTTGGTTAGGAGAAATAATGGCTTATTGTTTTCAGATAAGGGTAAAGGCAAGAAACACTGATAAAAGAAAATTTCTCTGCAAGTTGAAAGGGCTCTCAGAGACCCAGATTGGACTGATGAGAAAACAGACACCTAGGTGTTGTATAATGCGGGAAAGAATTATAGGCTTCTAGGCAAAAATAACTTACTTGTGAAGAAATAATAATCAGACTGATACCAGACTTCTCTCTTATGGCAGTGGAAACTAGAGATAGAAGGCACATACATGTTATGTTGTTGTTATGTTTGTATGATTAAATCATACAAACATTATGTGAATGTTTGTATCTGTTATGTGAACAACAGAAGGGTAAAGTCTTATTGATTTAATCATACAAACAAACAAAAAAAACAGGAAGATAACCACTAAAGGAATAAAAATCTACATTAAATCTCCAACCTAATAAGGGAATACTGAATCACAGGAGGAAATATAAGAAGAGAAAAGAGGAAACATAAATTAGGAAACAAAACATTAGGAGAAATAAAACAAGACAGATCAGTCACGATATTAAATGTGCTGGGATTAAATCTCCCTTTTGAAAAACAAAGACTGTCAGATTGATATAAAAAGCAAGCTCATCTATGTGTTATTTTTAGGAGCATACTTAAACTGACAAAGAGATTTCCTCTTCTGCAAATGGTAGACAGGTAATTCAGAGAAGCCTTCCTACTGAAGACAACTGAGAAGTCAGCAAAATATAAAAACCACCTCACTAAAAACATCAAAGAGCTAACAGGATGATGAGGTAATAACAGATCAACATCCAGAAGACAGAAATCCAGGGGGGGAGAGATTCAGTATTTGAGATACATTGATTGCCCTTTTTACAACAGGCTATGAGGATGCTGGAAAACTATGAATTTGCCCCATGTTGAGACCGGGGGAATAAAACAGAGTCCAGGCCTTACAAAGGATGGCACCCATAAAACTACCTACTTTTGGGGTTGGCACCATGAAGAGCAGTACCCAAGAGACAGAAAAAAACAGAAGTAACCATTTTAAGTCATCTGTGTGGCCCAGAAAATGTTAAATCCGAAAATTAGACTAAATTGACTCCAGGTTATTAATCTCCTCAGGGGCCTAGCAGAAACAAATTCACTCTAGAGAAATGTTCTAAAATTGATTGTCTTAATGGTTATATAACTGTAAATATACTAAAAACCATTAAATTGTATACTTCAAATGAGTAAGTGGTATGATAGGTGAATTATCTCAGTAAAGCTCTTATATAAAAAAGAAAATTCTACCCTAGAGGATGATAACAGTATCTTAGAACTCAAATTGTTTTTATAAATAATTTTTCAAAAACACTTCCTTCTAAAAATAGCTAGGCACATGAAAAAACACAGTGCCATGAACAAAACCAGCACAAATAACAGGTAACAAGAAAGAGATCCACTGGTACTCCCAAGAGTGAAATTATTAGGCATAACAATGTGCTGATGCACACATGGGGATAAAACTAAACTAAAATTTCGGTGAGAAATTAAAAATAGTGACATTGCATATTTGGCAAAAAAGGAAGCAAAAGATTCAAATACTGACTTCCTTCTCCTGGTAGTGGCAGAGTACTTTTTACCAAGTAAAGACTACTCGAAACTCTGGGAAAACTTTAAGGACAATGACCTAAAAAGATTGGAGAATAACCAAAAATGAGCAGAAACTGGAGTGACATCTACAAATGGCAGAAAGGAGTTTCCTATTTTGTAATTTTTCACCTGCAGGCAGACCCCAGTTAGCATCAGTCAGGGCAAGGCTGCTGAAACTTGGTAGGACCCTACAGTCTAGACTTTGGATCTCACCCAAGATAGGAGTCACAGACCTGATTTATCTGCCCTCCTGGAACAACAACAGAGAAGATACATAAAAATGGATTTCAAGACACTGACCATCGGGCAGTGAAGGACAATGAGCCTGAGAGATGGAAATAAAGAAGGGGAACCTCAGCTTATGACTCAAGAGAGTTTTCCAATCCACAGCGTAGAGCCAGGAAGCCAGACAGAACCTGTCATACTCCGTGAGTTGAGGACCAATGAAATCAAGAAGAGTATTAAAGTGTAACCTCCAGGGGAAGGGAAAGCCATGTTTAAAATATTTTCTTAGTTAGAAATGTAAATATTTATGCATTTGTATAAAATTATATATATGGCTATATGTAAGTAAAAAATAGTCTTTTTATAGACTTTGTTTTATCCAGTCTCTCCTAGGTTTGTAAACTCTCACCCTCAGTCACTAATACTCATTTTTATTACATAACAGCTGTAATGAAGGAAGCAAGAAAGTTTCTGATGCTTGCATTTCTAAAAATGTCTCTTTTCTGGAACTCCATTGTATTTAATTATTAGGTAGGTATTTCTAATTGAGCCAAGCTTATCATTAATTATAATGTAATTAATATTAAATATTATAAATACATTTTAGACCATGGAAAAGGATTCTAATCAAAAGATCATAAAGTGCTATAAATAAGGGGAAAGCGATTATCTAGGAAAAAGAGATGTCAACATCAGGCCAGATTACTTTGCCTTTATGTATTCCCACTTTCAGCAAGTTCAGTTTGTTTTCCTTGTGTCACCTTCCCCTAGATTCTGTGACACTGTCTGTGATAGAGAAGCCTAGACAGAAGGCTTAGCCCCTGGATAAGATCCTGGACATTTAGAGTATAGAATTCATTTGGGGGGCGCCTGGGTGGCTCAGTCAGTTAAGTGTCTGACTCTTGGTTTCAGCTCAGGTCATGTCATGATCTCAGGGTCCCACACAGTGGGGAGTCTGCTTGAGGATTCTCTCCCTCCACCCGCCCCCCATACTCGCTTGCCCTCTCTGTCTCTCTGAAATAAATAAATCTTTTTTAAAAATTTCATTTGGCCCACATTGGAAATAGTTGTTAAGAATATGTCTGAGATAAGGCTTTTTCCCTGTTTTTTTTTTTTCCCCCTACACTGGCAATGCTGGATAAGTATGTGTTTGAGTTGAGTATGTTTGAACATAACTATTAACTTCTGGGTTTGCAGCCAGTGAGAACCAGCCAGAGAAGCCTCACTTTGATTCTCGCAGTGTGATATTTGAGCTGGATCCTTGCAATGGGAATGGGAAGGTTTGCCTTGTCTACAAAAGAGGGAAACCAGGTAAGAATCATTGACAAGCATGGTCCTGCAGTTGGGTGTGGCATGGATGACCCTGCTCTCCAGTCATGACACAAAAGGCACACTCCTCTGGACCCATGAGATGCAGCCAGGTCTCTTGGCGATGTAAAGACCCAGAAAGCCCCTTTGGTCCTCCCTGAACATCCCCTTCTTGGCCAATCACTAAAGTCTTTAAGCTATCATCATTTGTGAGTTACTGCAAAATAATGGGAGTAGGAAAATAAGTGAGTAAAAACTAAAAGAAATAGTCATTGTGTTTATAGACTCCTCTAGCAGGCTCACGCATTAGGAAAAGCATCCAGGAAAAGCATTATCTTTCTTGTGTACTTCTCTCTGTAGGCAAGTTAACAACCTAAAAACCTGAATGAGTAGACCTCAATCTAAGACCTCAGATGAGAAATCAAGAGGAAAAGGCTCTGGTCCCTGGAGCAGCAGCTGTCACCAGTTCAGGCCCTGCCCTGGGGACTGTGGACAAGGCCCAGCCCTCTTCACATAGCTCTCAGTCTGTCGGGGTGAGAAGATAGAGACGCCAGGATTTTACTCCTAGAGGAAGGAGGGACCGACTTTGCAAAGTAGCCTTTCATCCACATCTTGGGTTATGGGGAGGGGTGGGGCAGGAGGGGTTGTGGGGTAAGGGGAACATCTAGGCGAAGAGACTGGGTAAAGCTATGCCATGGGAAAGTGCAACGGATTTGGAAAGCATGACAATTTCAAATCATAGGGCTACCTGGTTCATCTTGTGGGTGAGGAGTTGAAGCCAGAAGCCATGCACAGCTTGGAAGGAGTTTGGACATGGCAGTGGGAAGTCCAGGTTGTTCAGTAAAGGAACAGCCGAACTGAGGTGGAAATGCACGTTTGCACAGGCAGTCTTGGAAGAGGAAGAGACAAGGGTGGGGGCCGCTGAGGGAGCTGTTACAGCCATTAGACAGGAGACGAACTAGAGGCCTGCGGGAGGAAGAACAGAAGGTGAGAAGTGAGTGCGAGACTGGAGCTGCTGTGACCGTGCCTGTTTCAGTTCAGCCCGGACCTCCCGCAACAGCACGGGCAGGATCCAGGACAGGAGCTGGTCTGCGCTCCCCCCCAGTGGCTGCTCACAGCCCTTCAGGTTCCTGTTGGAGACCCCCTCAGAAAACCAGAGCCTTGGGGTGCCTGGGGGGGCTCAGTCGGTTAAGCAGCTATCTTCGGCTCAGGTCATGATCCCAGGGTCTTGGGATCGAGCCCCGCAT